GTAACAATATGTTTTACTTCCCAGAATTTTTATAAATATTTTAGGAGGTAATAAATAAAATCTTGACTTTATACCTTAATATTACACATGATGTTCTAAATTTAAATTTCATAAATTGCTACAGGAAAGTAAGAATAAGCTAGTAAACCATTAGACTAAAGCAGTTCTTGAACTATGGATACACACTAAAAAATGAAGGACATGAAGGTAAAACAGATCCTTTTGAGGGGGTAATAGTAGGAGGGTATTGGGCATGAGGAAAGGGTGAAGGAAGGTGATTATGGTGGATGCATTTTGTATTAATGTATGAAAATAGAAAAATGAAACATGTTAAAATTGTCCAAAGGTGGGAGGAAGATGAGAGAACAATGGAGGGAGTGAATCTAATTAAAATATACTGAAAGCACATATGAAATGTCACAATGTATCCCTCCTGAAAAGCTATTACATGCTAGTTAAAAGAAAATAAAGAAATTTTTAAAAAATTGTATCAATGATTCTTCACAGAAAAGAGCAAACAAAGTTAAAATTTGGAAAAGTCTACAACTGAGGAAGTTAGACACCAAGTTCTTCTGTCTTCCTGTGTTCCCAAAATATACATTTATTTGCTCCATGTTTTTTTTTTTTCTTTAAGAGTCAAAAAAGTTAGCTTGGCATGGTGGTGCAAACCTTTAATCACGGCAACTGGAAGGCTGAGGAAAGAGGATCTCAAGTTCAAGGCCAGGATAGGCTATAGACATAATAAGAACCTGTCTTTAAAAAAAAGAAAATGCCAAAGAAGTTGATAGTGGCTAAAGAAATATTGAAAAAGTTATATTTTACTGGGAAAAATAAAAGCCCATTCCTTTATAGCAAAATTTCAATGAGATATCTTCTTTGAGCTAAGTAAAGAGGATGGAGAATGGGGTGGGGGACTTAAGTAATTTTTTCCAATCACTTTTTGAGTACTTACCATGTCCAAACACCATCTGTGTAAGATTCAGTGTCAAGAAAACAAGGGCCTGCTACCTGCTTCTTACAATTTATTGAAGAGCACACAGGAAGGCAACATGGGAGTTATGAACAAGTGTTGGGATGGAGAACACAGGGTGAGAGGACAATAGGACATGAGTGGAAGAGTTGGGTAGATGGAGGAATGGAATGACAGGAAAGTAGTAAAGTCTTCTTGGAAAAAAGTCAGAAGACAAGCTGATAAGTTGTGGAGAGTGGATTTTGAGAAGCCTATGAGAACTTGACATAGCACAGCTGTGTCAAATAATCTACAGACTGAGTTTGGCACAGAAGAGATGGAGAGGCAAAATGCAGCAGAGCTGCTTTTCCTAAATTGTTTGTGTTCAGAGAAGTAGGAATGCAAGTTTCTCTTATTACAATGTCAATGCCTTCCCCAAGAACTGTTGCTCCACCTCCTGTTTACCATTGGATATAAATGCTCCCTGAAGGAGGACATGAGGTTTTTTAATGGGAGAGGTTTTTTGATGGCTGATTGATTGGTGGGCTGCTACTGCTGCTGCTGCTGAGTTAAGCTAGAGATTAGAGGAAACATGGGACAGTGCAAGTCTGAGCACCAAGACTTTAAGAAAATTAAAGAGAGATCATGGGACAGTGCAAGTCTGAGGACTGAGACTTTAAAAGGGAATGTGGGACAGAGCAAGTCTAACGAAAGAGACTTTAAAGAACAGAAAAGAAGACTTTAGAAGTAAGGTTCTAAAGATAGAGAAGAGAAGCAAAGTAAAAGAAGAGTTAATAGAGTAAAAAAGCAATGAGGCTGTTGTGCGTCTTCCAATGCACCTGACCTCAACTTTCTGCATGTCTGTCTTCTATCATTTGTCCTTTCAGCATCTCCAGTCGCCCCCAGTTAGAGAGAAAGCTTGCTTACAAGGAGCTGAAACCTGAAGGGAGAAAGTGACCAACCATGTAAGAAGCTGAAAGAAGTATATTCCATGTAGAAAAAAAAAGATTGTCAAATGTCAGGAAGTGAGGAAAGCATATCCCTGGAGCCAAAAGTTACTTAACCTGACTTCTGATTGGGATAATGCAATGCAAAGAGAGCAGGAGACAAAGCTGGAGAGATAAGCAGGGGCCAAATCACAAATTACTTAGAGAACTACATTAAGAGGCTCTCATTTCATCTTGAAGGTAATGCGATTAATCTAAGGATACTATACTGACATAATTTAGGAGAAATTTTTTATGGTAGTATGGTGAATGCATGGTGGTAAGCAGGAGGAAAGGAAGGCTAGAGAGAAAGAAATCAGTCTTAATTCTCTTGCAATAATTCAGGTTGAGTGAGGATAGAGCCCACATAGCATGAAGGTTGAAGAGTTAATGGGATACAAAGAGGTAGTAAAGTATAATTCTTTCAAAAAATTTAGCAAGAAAGGTTGAAAGCTAAAGAGTGGCATGGGTTTTAAAGAGATATCTTTTTGTGGAACTGGTGTTGAACTCAAGGATTGCAAAGCAGGTAGTCTACCATTTGAGCCACACCAGCAGTTCAGAACAAAGTGAACTCAGAAACTATGTTCCTTGGCTGGCCTGGAACCACAATCCTCCTGATCTCAGCCTTCCGAGTAGGCAAGGATTATAGGGGTGAGCCACTGGTTACCGGCTTAAAGAGAGATTTCTTTTGAGAGGAAAAAAAAAAATACTACATCATATGTAGTATTTGCCCTCAACTAGGAGAGTCAACATGGTATGGTGACCAGAACTGAAGTCTGAAGTCAATTACTCTGGATGTTATTTCAAGTTTTACTCCTACCTGTCTATGTAGGGTTGAACAGCAACTTTTAACTAGCATGACCTGGAAGTGAAAAGTCCTTAGAATATTTTCTGTTTATAAAAAAAAGAAAAGAAAAGAAAAGATAACCATAAATTTCATTACAGGTAATAATTCTCTTAATTATGATTTTTTCTGCTTTGTAAAATGGAATGTTTTATAGTAAGAATTTATACCCCTTCTTTTGATCAGAAAACATCTATATTTGCTCTCTTTTTACTGTGCCCCATATTGCAATTCAGAAATAGCTTCAACTTAAATAATGTGGGCTCCTATAATTACCAAATAGCTTCCTGTTACAGTTTCAGCCTGTTGAAGAAGACACCTAAGATGTTTACATCTTATTATTTCAAACACTAATGTTAATTTATTGTAGTTTATTTAGGGATGTTCTGAACACTGGCTTACTTAACTAGAAATTAGGAAATGTGAATATTAAACCATAGAACAATTGTACATTCAAAAACTCTAAATTGTAAACCCAGCCATGGTTATTAATGGAATCACCATTGCAAGCCTTTATTCTTTGTGAGTCTCATGTTCTTCCTCATAAAATGAGTATGACCTTTCAGGTTCTCATTGCAAAACTCTGGGAGAACACATTGCTAGCCAATATATGAATAAAAGAAAATAACCTTAACCCCAATAGCTGAAGGGGGAATAGAAACTATAAATAGAGACTGATAAATGATGGGAAACAACTATGGTCTACTTCTGCCATTGGGTTTGATTCAGAGTCACCACTTTCTACCCAGAGGCCTTATAAAATGCCATTGTCAGAAGGAGGCTAAGATTGTGGGAATCATCTACCAGCTTCCTTCAGGTGACCTCTGAACTGGCCACTTGCCTAAGTACCATCAATGTCTCTAACAGGGACTTGCAGGAATCTTATGGCTGTCAGGCAGGTGCCTCTTTAAGTACAAAATGCTCCTGCTGAATGGGAACACAGAGTCTGGAATGAGCTGACAGACTGAGAAAAAATAAGGTTCTTTTATTGTTGAAGTCCTTCATGCTTTCTTGTCCTCCTTCCTCAGAAACATAGTTTTTCAGGCAACTGAGTAAGATAAAAAAAAAAGAAGAAGAAAGAACATCACAGCCAACCATAAACCTTGCGTTTGTAATCAGTGCATAACCTCTGTGATGAAATTTTTGAGTAATTCACTTCCCACACTTCCCATTTCAGCCTACCAATATGAGATCTAATGTTGCCACCCTTAACACTAATGAAGGAAGTCAGGCGGCAGTACAGTTTGCTCTTGGGGACTCATTTTTCACATCACCAAAAAGTAATTTCTGTCATTTTTGGCCATCTGGTAGCCTGGATTGTGAAGTAAAAATTTCATTCAAGAATTGCTTAATGGTCTGGGTCCCAGAGTCTGCCCAGATTCAAATTCCTTTCTGCTTCCCAGTTAGTCCCATCTATGCATCACTTTCCTACCTGAAAATAAAGTTCTCATAGGATATCATCCTTTTTATAAGGAGCTATTGAGATAACACTTGTAAAATACCCTACACAGAGTCTTGAGTATGGTAAGTGTTTAATTAAAGTCAGCTATTATTAAATTGTTAGTAGTAATGGTGATGGTAGCTTTAAAAGTAATACTAGGGTTGCATTTTTTGTAATGTCTACATATCTTTAAATAGGCCTTATTAATTCAGTCTTTATGGTCTCAAGAACGTTACCTGGCCTGTTACTAAGACAATATTTGGAGGCTTTCTATTCTTGTAGTGATGATCCAGTGGCTTCCTCATGTAGACAAATAACAAGTACCATACCTTACTAATACAATGATGTCACTTTATACTAAATAATATTTTCCTTTTCTGGTATGTAGAGAAAAGCTTGTAGTGTAATCTTCATACATATATGATAATAAATTGATACATTTTTACTATTAATTTATATAAATGTACATGCCTTGTAATATTTTTAAAAGGTCTATTTTGATCAGAAAAGAGCTAAGACATCTCCATCACTTAACTCCAGAAACTTCCTACAGCACTAAAATGTGAGAGATATTCTCATCTTATTCTTGTGGGTTAGGACCTCCTTAAAGACTTGGTGAACAGATTACAAGCAGGAGTCTTAAAAGTACTCTGGATACTTACACAAAATTTTAATTAAGTAATAAAAACTCAAAGTTTCCTTTTCTAGTTGCATGGACCAGGGCTACATGCCTGCTTTTGCTCATGTGATTGCATATTCCATTTGCTTTTGTCTTTACAGTTCCACCAAAGATCTCTAACATCTCCTCTGATGTCACTGTGAATGAGGGCAGCAATGTGACCCTGGTCTGCATGGCCAATGGCCGCCCTGAACCTGTTATCACCTGGAGGCACCTTACACCAACTGGTAAGCAACCCTCCATTTTCCAAGATGCCATATACTACATAAGATTCCATATAATCAGAAAGGCAACCACACATCTTGTTAAGCACTTTAAAAAATTGCAGCATAGTCTTATTTAGTGTCCTCATCATCTTTGACAATGTGTTCATCTCTTTAAAGTTTGCAACCATAGTATTGAATATACATATTATCATATTTCATTCCCAACAGAATGCCCCCTAAGGCGGTACATACAGAAGCCTTAGATGACTTGATATTCTATCTAAAATGTATGCCTGTTTGGTACTTGAGTGTCTTGGGGCCATGTTTTGCTTGAATTAAATTTAGACAGTTTTTTGGTAAGTTTGTTTGCTTTGCTTTTAACTAACTGTAGTGCCCTAATATATAGCACCTTGTAAAGAACCTAGTTAGCAATAACACAGGATTATTATTTCTACTGTCCTGTACTTGGCATCTAGTTCTGTGATGTGTGTCAGGCACAGACAAAGCTGAATGAGTTTATCATCAACCCTAGCTGTGGACAATAATTCAGTGTAAATCAGAAAATGATTTTCCAGGAAAATCTTCTGCATCTATCCCTTCTGCTTCTTACCACCATCACCATAACTAGGTTCCAAGACTCCCCAGGTTCTTAAATATTAAAGTATTTTTCAAAATTATTTAGAATTAACTGAAGCATACTCCCCTATTCTACCAACTGCACTTATTATCTGCAAAATTATGCTTTTTCAAATACACAGTCCTTGAAGAGTGGATCTTACTATTTAATTTGTTTTGTTTTATTTTCTTGTTTTTTGCCAGAATTGGGGTTTGAACATGACTTTGTGCTTGTGAGGCAGACCCTTTTTGCTCTGGTTATTTTAGAGATAGGGTCTCTAAACCCAGACCAGCCTGGACCAAGATCCTTCTTTTTTAAGCTTCTTTCAGTTGCTGGAATGACAGATATGTATCACCATGCCCACCTTTTTTCAATGAAGATGGTGTCTCACAAACATTTTTGCCCAGGCTGGCCATGAACCACAAACCTCTTGATCTTAGTTTCTCAGGTAGCTTGAAATGATGGGTATACACCACTGTGCCCAGCAATTGTTTGAGCTAAGACCTCGCAAATTCTTTGGTGGACTGGCCTTCAATCACAATTCTCCTGATCTCAGCCTCCCAGTGTTTGGTTTGAATCAGTTACCTTTATAAAATACCTTTTACTTTATAAGAGAATCCTCAAATTAACTGGCTCATGTGTGATGTTATCTTAAAATTTCACCATAAAGGTACCTAGAGCTTTTATTTGCAACCTATCCACTTTGGAACAAACACCATTAAAAATTGTAAAAAGTTGAGCATATAATGAGAGCTTTCCTGAGATACTCTCAAAGAGCAGAATGATGTTTGGTCACAGTAAAATCTCTATGTTTTGTGATGTGAGAATATGAGAGCCTCCTTTTGACATTATACCCCAATTAATTTCCAAATAAAGTCTGTGCCAACCTGTGGAATAGCCTTATATTTAGGCAAGTATTCTGACTAGCAATCTCTATTTTCAAAGAAAATGTTACTCAAAAGCCATCATTATTAATGCATGCAGTTCATGGTTTATTAATAATGTACAAAAGTAATACATGAGGTGCTTATTTATAGAATCATTACCTCACAAGTTCATTTTAGTAATCACATGGAAAGAAAAACACATATGAAGTTTTATCCGAAATATGAACTTGCTTATTTCAGACATGGTTCTCCTGAAATAAGTTAAAAGTACAGAGAACATTCTACTTGGATGACATCATATTAACTCCTAAACCTTACCACCTACCCGTTTCAAGTGCAATTGCTTTCACTGACTGTCAATTTGCTATAAATGCTATTGGCCCATGTTTCAATATTTTATCCAAGATAACTTCCAAAATCATTGTGTTTACTGTAATATAATTGAGAGATTGCTAAAATTCTTATGTAATTTTGTATTGAAAAGTCTCTGAGAAAATTCTTCTTTGTTTTCAATATCTCTACTGTTCTTTCCCTAAGCAATGGTTTATTCATTGTAAATAGACCCAGTGGTTTTTTAAAATAAATTATTGAGTCCTTCATTGTATTGACTATTAGAAAACTTAGAACCAAATTTGTAGCCCACCTGTAAAGAATCTATCATCTATCTATCTACCATCATTTGATGTTCATGGCATCAAATTCATATACATACCACATTTCTGTTTTCTTATCATTTTTTCTTGTCTTACCTTTTATAACTAATTTAAAAGTTTATAAAATATATTTACAAATCTCTTAATCTCTCCTATGAGAAAGTGTAGTAGATAAGAATGGGAGGGATAAAGGAAAGAAAATAGATTTATATTGAGGTCAAATAACGAACTACATTAATTGCACTACATTATTTCTTTTAGTGCAATATTGTAAATGATATTTTCAGGAAGAAATGCAATTTCTGTGTAGAGCTCAAAGATAGATTCTTTTTTGTTCATTGAGTTTAGAAAATGTCTGAGACAGAACCAAAGCTACAAAGCCTTTGTGAGTTTGTCTCCAAATTTAGATATTCATGGCTAACTCTAATAACTTTCCCATGACATTGAACATCTGATTTTCTGAACAGCCTGATTTTCTATGATGCTTCATGTCAATAAAAGACCAGAGAACCAGATACATCTCTTAGAGTAAAGGTATAACTTTTACAGATATATTTTCTAGAGTAAAGATGGTATTTTCATATACTGAGAGAACTTTTGAGGCTTAATATCAAATACAAAAATTGGTGTACTCACAAGGATTCCCAATAGTCAATTCAGAGGTCAACAAACTATAGCCTGTGGGCCAAATCCAGTCTCCCCTATTTATGTACTTCTTACAAGTAAAGATAGTTTTTAAATTGCTAAATGGCTGGGAAAATCAAAAGAATTCTATTTTTTGCCATTCAAATATATATGAAATTCAAATTTCAATGTACATACATAAAGTTATGAAACACAGTCATGCTCATTCATTTACATATTGTCTGTGGATGCTATTGCTGTAAAACAGCAAAGTTGAGCATTTGCAACAAAAAATACTTGGCCCACAAAGCTTAAAATAGTTTTTCTCTAGCCGTTTCAAGAAAGGTTTATAGACCTCAACTCAAGGCCATGGCTTGGCACACAGGACAAGGATTTTCTGCACTTAGTCACAGCCACATAGAGCTTTGGAAGTATCTTCTATCAAGTTCCTTATAAACATCTCAAGATAAAAAAAAAATTTGCTATCCTGCAGTCAACTATCTACTTCCTCTTTGTTGGTTAAATTCTGTTCTGCCACATGCAAAGCTAGCTGACTCAAATGCAGACTACCATTCTCCCTTACAATGGGCATCAGTTCCCAAGCTTACTCTTTTCATCCCTTTCACATCTGGCCTAAAATCCATCTGATCAAAATCATATTCCTAGTGACATGAGAAGCAACTTGCCATTACTATGCTATAAAAGAAGCTAGGTTTGTGTGTGTGTGTTATTATTCCTTTCAAAATCTGGAAATAGGGTGATACTTTTCACATTTTCATGCAAAGTCTTTCTGGAGACACCCAAGTCTGAGATTTGCTTCCTGTGTGACAGCAAGGCTACCTGCAACCCATGGCCATGTGAGAAAGAAAAAAAATCCAGCTAGCTTTGTTCCATTATTAATTTTGCCTTCCACAGTACAAAGTATGAGTGCCTTCAGGAGGAAATGTACCTGCAATTAGCTGGACCCCTCAGAGACATGGAGACCTGAATGGGGGATGATTCTGCACAGGGATCACGAATGTGTGATTACCTGTCCTTTGACAACAAGAAATGGAGAAAAATATGAAAGATGCATGGCATATTTTTATGAGAGGGAATATGTATTGCTACAATTCAGTTCCTTTTTAAAATTTTCATTTAGGCTATTTTGTTTTTCTTTCTTTTGACACTGGAAGTTTCTTTTTGAAGTATACTGCAAGTATCTTCTAAGAGAAAAATGAGAAGAATGGTGAATTTTCGTATGTTCAAATTCAAAACATTTGCTTGACTTGGAGTAAAAGAGATTGATGCCATTTTATGAATGTCTTTCTCATATTTTTGATATCTTAATTTCTTCTCCTCTTCAGTTATTTTATGTAGTCAAAGTGATGTGTCACATATGTGGTTATAAATGTGACCTATTTTCTCCCTTAATTAAGTTAGATTTTCATAATCCTATGACTCTCAAAGGGTAATTGCACCAGACCATGTATTTTCTGTGAAGTGTTTGATCTCTTTTCTGTTAACAAAGATGCTCCCATCTTCATTTAACTTTGTTTCTAAGTCTTTCTTCTTACAGTCATGAGGGAGTCCCTTTCTCAAGTGGACATCATGGAGTATCAGTATTGCTCAGGGTTACAGAAAGAGTTTCTGTGCAATTTTGTTTCTACAAAGGTTTTCATAACCTCCGTAGCCTTCAATACCTGGAAAACTCAAAAGGCTGACTGAGGATTTCACCCCTGAGGCTTAGAACAACTCAGGATGTACTGTGTCATTTTCTTGCCCCACCAGAAGCTAGATTTGACATCAACAGAGAGTATAGAAATCTTACTTAAGAAACACTTTATATTTGCTGTGACAAGTACGAAAACATTGTTCTGGGAGGAATTAGAAGGACTTCAAGGAGTTTCAACTTCTATTTTCTCATTAGATATTGGGTTTTAATCACTTGGTCTGAGAATTTATTTTCAATGCATTTTTAAGTCTGAGCCTTTGACTGATATACTCTTGAACTGCAGAGACTCTGGCTTCATGGATTTGAGAAAATACATCATGTTAAACTGAACTCATTTCTTTAAGCCAAATCCCAAAAGTACATGTCACAAGTAGCAACGATCTGTCCTTTTGAGTTAGTATGTTACAATTAATACGACCTTATGTTTAACATAGGAAACACATGATCTATAATGTAAATTTCAGGAAATTATCTCTCTAGGGTTTCTTGTATGGACCTTCCAGAGGTTCTGTGAGTCAATCTTGGTA